TTGTTAGTCTGGACAATTTGGTTTGTGTTTATAGTAGAACCTTGTTAGTCTGGACATGTTGGTTAGTGTGTACAGTAGAACCTTGTTAGTCTGAACACTTTGGTTTGTGTTTATAGTAGAACCTTGTTAGTCTGGACATGTTGGTTTTTGTGTACAGTAGAACCTTGTTAGTCTGGACATGTTGGTGTGTGTGTATACAGTAAAACCTTGAAAGTTTGGACATGTTGGTTAGTGTGTACAGTAGAACCTTGTTAGTCTGGACAATTTGGTTTTGTGTACAGTACAACCTTGTCAGTCTTGACACTTTGGTTTGTGTGTACAGTAGAGGCTGTGGTATTATAGATATCCCCAGGGTGCTATGTAGAGCCTGTGGTATTATAGATATCCTAAGGGTGTTCTGTAGAGGCTGTGGTATAATAGATATCCCCAGGGTGCTCCGTAGAGGCTGTGGTATTATAGATATCCCCAGGGTGCTCCGTAGAGGCTGTTGTATCATAGATATCCCCAGGTTGCTCCGTAGAGGCTGTGGTATTATAGATATCCCCAGGGTGTTTCGTAGAGGCTGTGGTATCATAGATATCCTTAGGGTGCTCCGTAGAGGCTGTGGTATCATACATATCCTTAGGGTGTTCTGTAGAGGCTGTGGTATTATAGATATCACCAGGGTGTTCCGTAGAGGCTGTGGTATCATAGATATCCCTAGGGTGCTACGTAGAGGCTGTGGTATTATAGATGTCCTTGGGGTGTTCTGTAGAGGCTGTGGTATCATAGATATCCCTAGGGTGCTACGTAGAGGCTGTGGTGTTATAGATGTCCTTGGGGTGTTCCGTAGAGGCTGTGGTATCAAAGATATCCTTAGGGTGCTCCGTAGAGGCTGTGGTATTATAGATATCCTTAGGGTGCTATGTAGAGGCTGTGGTATCATAAATATCCTTAGGGTGCTCTGTAGAGGCTGTGGTATTATAGATATCCCCAGGGTGTTCCGTAGAGGCTGTGGTATCATAGATATCCTTAGGGTGCTACGTAGAGGCTGTGGTATTATAGATGTCCTTGGGGTGTTCCGTAGAGGCTGTGGTATTATAGATATCCCCAGGGTGCTATGTAGAGGCTGTGGTATTATAGATGTCCTTGGGGTATTCTGTAGAGGCTGTGGTATCATAGATATCCTTAGGGTGCTCTGTAGAGGCTGTGGTATTATAGATATCCCCAGGGTGTTCCATAGAGGCTGTGGTATCATAGATATCCTTAGGGTGCTACGTAGAGGCTGTGGTATTATAGATGTCCTTGGGGTGTTCCGTAGAGGCTGTGGTATTATAGATATCCCCAGGGTGCTATGTAGAGGCTGTGGTATTATAGATGTCCTTGGGGTATTCTGTAGAGGCTGTGGTATCATAGATATCCTTAGGGTGCTCCGTAGAGGCTGTGGTATTATAGATATCCCCAGGGTGTTCCGTAGAGGCTGTGGTATTATAGATGTCCTTAGGGTGCTCTGTAGAGGCTGTGGTATCATAGATATCCTTAGGGTGCTCCGTAGAGGCTGTGGTATTATAGATATCCCCAGGGTGCTATGTAGAGGCTGTGGTATTATAGATATCCCCAGGGTGCTCCGTAGAGGCTATGGTATTATAGATATCCCCAGGGTGCTCCCTAGAAGCTGTGGTATTATAGATATCCCCAGGGTGCTATGTAGAGGCTGTGGTATTATAGATATCCCCAGGGTGCTCCCTAGAGGCTGTGGTATTATAGATACTCTCAGGGGGTTCTGGAGAGGCTGTGGTATTATAGATAATATATAATGTTTAATTGATTTAATGTCTTAATTCTTAAAGGATGATCGACACATTATTAAGCTTTATTACATTAGAACCCATCTAACTGAAAACTAATTAGTCTTTTATGATATCAGAGAACGTACATCAATGATGCTGGTCTGACATTGTAATCAAGGATAACTAATGGAGACAGCCATCAGCTAAAGCTCAATCTGACTGTGCCGTACATCAGGACGTGCACTGGAATATAGCATTTCTACAAACTTGGTTCATTATTAATTGTTGTAGGAGTGTGTGAAAATCAATACGATACAGGCCTACAACTGTGCTAAGTACGGCTACTGGATCAATCATAATATGTCTTGATGTGTTGGAATTGGGGATTCTTGAGGAATCTTGTTTGGTTGATCCAGGTTGCTTGTAACTGTTCCTAACGTTGATAATCACATTGTACTGGATTATTGATATTCTGGCACTGGCGAAAGAGCTTAAAGATATCTGAAGTCAACAGAAGTTAATAAAGATGGCAGTGCTATCAAACATAGGAAGATGCCTGTTAGGTGTCAGGATTTAATGAACAGGAGTTGTAAGGATTGACAGATTCTGCTTGTAATAATTTCTTTTATGTTTTAAACTGTTAAAGGCGTCTTTATGAAAATTGAAGAATACCAGCTTCATTCATAGAAAGTCATTAGGTCAGTGACCTTCACCTTGAGGTCAAAAGTCAAGTACAAAAATTCTGCGATTCAGTATAATGCTGTAAACAGTTTGACAATCTTGATGAAACACAAAGTGTATGTGCATTCAGTGCACAGAAATGAGGACCTCTGAGTGGTAAATGTTAAGCGAAATCATATCCAGGCTGAACATTTTAAAGGGGCTGGTCGGGGAAAAAATGGCATATTTGCTAAAATGGCATACACATGTTTAAAATACCTTCTTATGAAATATACCGATACAAATTTGATGAAATTCACTCCCTAAGAGTAAAAATTATAATTATGTTAAAGAAATCCTAGATCGTCACCTGACAGTCTAAAACTCTCAATCGACCCTGATCAGTGATGTAATTTTACCGCATGCGCATCACCAACAAGGCCAAATGTAATCATTGTGACGAAAGAAAGAAATGCATGCAAAAGTCATGACAGGCACGAGGTATCAATACCGTTATATAAAACAACAACATATAGGTAGGAATACTACACTTGCATCATACATGACCTTTGAAAACAATTATTTACGTATAGTATTGCTGTCTTGTCCGACATGGCACATGAAGGTGTGCTATTGTTGTTATCTTCACTGCCTCACTTTCGAAACAACCACATGACATATATAAATAGATCTGCGCCAAGTTTACGCGGGGCTTCCCCGAGATTTCAGTGGTCAAAACTGGACATTGCAAGCAGAACTTGACCATCATATTGCCGTGGTATAACTTTTGGAAGGCCAGAGAACGCATTTAGACCCATTTATTTTGTATTTTTTTCCCCCGACCAGCCCTTTTAACATGTTGAAGATAGAGGATATCTTGATATTTCATGTATACTTCAACATCCACAGAATGGGCCCAGTGTAGCGTTAAAAGGTCACAGTCACATAAAGAAATTATCACTTTTTTGAAATTTTTTTTTTTGAAACAAATAAAATAAAATGTGAACTTAACCTACACTTAATGTACAGCTCATGCTTCAGATTTTACAGTTAGCTGTACTGTCTCTGTATTTTGTATTATATGAAATGTATTGTATATTTTATAATGTATGGTATGTATTGTATACTGATGAGTTGTAAGACCTCAAGTCAAAAATGATTTTAAATGAATTAGACCTTCATCATTATAGATCAAAGGTCAAATAAGTGCAAAATTTTTCAGTGAAATATTATCTTGCCTGTAAACTTTAAACCATTGAAAATATCTTGGTGAAATTTGAAAACCTGTTTTGGTTGCCAAAGCAATCTTTTGAATAAATTGATATCTGTATTCATTTCGTATTTCATCAGATCATTCAAACCTGATTTCCTGCTCATACGACAAAATGTGAGGGACGCCACGGAGGACTGGAAGAACTTGCTCATCGGATTTCAATATGGCGGTATTCCTAGCGTCAACTCTCTCCATTCTATCTACAACTTCCAGGATCGGCCGTGGGTGGTACGTTATCAGCACTTTAACATACTGGCTTATATAAAACCATGTTTTTGTGTTTCTTAATCACGGAGACTCTGGAATAGTGTAGTTAGATCTTCAAAACCTGTAAACCACACTAACTGTAAATGTCCTGGCTGACAAGCTTCTCAGTGTACATGCAATTTGGTGGAATCTCTAGATTGATTTTATTTCAGATTGTTTTGAGAATTTACAAGTCAAAGATGAAATTTAAGGAGTGGTTCTGTACTTTCTAGAAGTGCTTAGTGTTCTTTAAACAGCAAAACTTTTTTGACAAATCCAATGAACTGAGCATTTCCAACAAAGGGAATGTGACAAATCCAGTGAACCAAACAAAGGGAATGAGGAAAACTTGGATGAGATTACATAAAAATAGCTGATCGCAAGCCAGGCTGTGATGAGTAGATTTTTTAGACTGTAGTGATCAAATTGATATACAAAAGATGTTCCAACAGACAGGTTCATTTTCCTTATCAGTTTTAATACAGCAATAAGACAGCAGAAATCCCTGCGCACTGTCATCTGTTCTAATACAGCAATAAGACAGCAGAAATCACTGCGTACTGTCATCAGTTCTAATACAGCAATAGGACAGCAGAAATCACTGCCAAATGTCATCAGTTCTAATACAGCAATAAGACAGCAGAAATCACTGCGCACTGTCATCTGTTTTGGAAAATAAAAAATCTGTGAAGCAAGTAGTCCCCGAATGGTACTTCCAGAGGAGACTATATGTTTGCCCACCATCAGTGTGTCACTCCATCAGTGTGTCAGTGTGTCAGAGAATGGTACTTCCCGAGGAGACTATATGTTTGCACTCCATCAGTCTGTCAGTGTGTCAGTGTGTCAGTGTGTCAGTCTGTCAGTGTGTCACTCCATCAGTGTGTCAGTGTGTCAGAGAACAGTACTTCCCGAGGAGACTATATGTTTGCACTCCATCAGTGTGTCAGTGTGTCAGTGTGTCACTCCATCAGTGTGTCAGTGTGTCAGAGAAAGGTACTTCCCGAGGAGTCTATATGTTTGCACTCTATCAGTGTGTCAGTGTGTCAGTGTGTCAGTGTGTCAGAGTGTCAGTGTGTCAGAGTGTCAGTGTGGCAGTGTGTCACTCCATCAGTGTGTCAGTGTGTCATTCCGTCAGTGCGTCAGTCTGTCAGTGTGTCACTCCATCAGTGTGTCATTCTGTCAGTGTGTCACTCTTCCCGAGGAGTCTATATGTTTGCACTCTATCAGTGTGTCAGTGTGTCAGAGTGTCAGTGTGTCAGAGTGTCAGTGTGGCAGTGTGTCACTCCATCAGTGTGTCAGTGTGTCATTCCGTCGGTGTGTCAGTCTGTCAGTGTGTCACTCCATCAGTGTGTCAGTGTGTCATTCCGTCGGTGTGTCAGTCTGTCAGTGTGTCACTCCATCAGTGTGTCAGTCTGTCAGTGTGTCAGTGTGTCAGAGTGTCAGTGTGTCAGAGTGTCAGTGGGTCAGTGTTTCACTCCATCAGTGTGTCAGTGTGTCACTCCATCAGTGCGTCAGTGTGTCATTCCGTCAGTGTGTCAGTCTGTCAGTGTGTCACTCCATCAGTGTATCAGTGTGTCACTCCATCAGTGTGTCACTCCATCAGTGTGTCAGTGTGTCATTCCGTCAGTGCGTCAGTCTGTCAGTGTGTCACTCCATCAGTGTGTCATTGTGTCAGTCTGTCAGTGTGTCACTCCATCAGTGGGTCATTGTGTCAGTCTGTCAGTGTGTCACTCCATCAGTGTATCAGTGTGTCAGAGAACAGTACTTCCCGAGGAGCCTATATGTTTGCACTCCATCAGTGTGTCAGTGTGTCTGTGTGTCACTCCATCAGTGTGTCAGTGTGTCAGTCTGTCAGTGTGTCAGAGAATGGTACTTCCCGAAGAGACTATATGTTTGCACTCCATCAGTGTGTCACTCCATCAGTGTGTCAGTGTGTCAGAGAAAGGGACTTCCCGAGGAGTCTATATGTTTGCACTCTATCAGTGTGTCAGTGTGTCAGAGTGTCAGTGTGTCAGAGTGTCAGTGGGTCAGTGTTTCACTCCATCAGTGTGTCAGTGTGTCAGTGTGTCACTCCATCAGTGTGTCAGTGTGTCAATCTGTCAGTCTGTCAGTGTGTCAGAGAATGGTACTTCCCGAAGAGACTATATGTTTGCACTCCATCAGTGTGTCACTCCATCAGTCTGTCAGTGTGTCAGTGTGTCAGTGTGTCACTCCATCAGTGTCAGTATGTCACTCCATCAGTGTGTCAGTGTGTAAGTGTGTCAGTGTGTCACTCCATCAGTGTCAGTATGTCACTCCATCAGTGTGTCAGTGTGTCAGTGAGTCAGTGTGTCAGTGTGTCAGTGTGTCAGTCTGTCAGTCTGTCAGTGTGTCACTGTGTCAGTGTGTCAGAGTCACTGTGTCAGTGTGTCAGAGAATGGTACTTCCCGAGGAGACTATATGTTTACACTCCATGAGTGTGTCAGTGTGTCAGTGTGTCACTCCATGAGTGTGTCAGTATGTCACTCCATCAGTGTGTCAGTGTGTCACTCCATCAGTGTGTCAGTGTGTCACTCCATCAGTGTGTTTCAGTGTTTGCACTCCATCAGTGTGTCAGTGTGTCACTTCATCAGTGTGTTAGTGTGTCACTCCATCAGTGTGTCAGTTTGTCACTTCATCAGTGTGTCAGTGTGTCACTCCATCAGTGTGTCAGTGTGTCACTCCCCCAGTGTGTTTCAGTGTTTGCACTCCATCAGTGTGTCAGTGTGTCACTTCATCAGTGTGTCAGTGTGTCACTCCATTAGTGTGTCAGTGTGTCACTCCTTCAGTGTGTCAGTGTGTCAGTATGTCACTCCATCAGTGTGTCAGTATGTTACTCCATCAGTGTGTCACTCCATCAGTGTGTCACTCCATTAGTGTGTCACTCCATCAGTGTGTCACTCCATCAGTGTGTCAGTGTGTCACTCCGTCAGTGTGTCAGTGTCACTCCATCTGTGTGTCAGTGTGTCACTCCATCAGTGTGTCAGTGTGTCACTCCATTAGTGTGTCACTCCGTCAGTGTGTCAGTGCGTCACTCCATCAGTGAGTCAGTGTGTCACTCAATCATTGTGTCAGTGTGTCCCTCCATTAGTGTGTCACTCCATTAGTGTGTCACTCCATGAGTGTGTCATTGTGTGAGTCTGTCAGTGTGTCAGTTTCAGTGTGTCACTCCATCAGTGTGTCAGTGTGTCAGAGAATGGTAGGATGACTGAAAGTAGGTCACCATTTGATCTGTCCTCTGATTCACTCCTTAAGTAAATACGAGTACAGTTTGTAAATAAAACATTAGCCTGGTGACTATAAAACATTGGCCTGGTGACTATAAAACATTAGCCTGCTGACTATAAAACATTAGCCTGCTGACTATAAAACATTAGCCTGCTTTAGCCTGCTGACTATAAAACATTAGCCTGCTGACTATAAAACATTAGCGTAGTGACTATTAAACATTAGCCTGCTGACTATAGAATATTAGCCTGGTAACTATAAAACATTAGCCTGCTGACTATGAAACATTAGCCCAGTGACTATAGAACATTAGCCTGGCGACTATAAAACATTAGCCTGCTAACTATAAAACATTAGCCTGGGGACTATAAAACATTAGCCTGGTGACTATAAAACATTAGCCTGGTGACTATAAAACATTAGCCTGGTGACTATAAAACATTAGCCTGGTGACTATAAAACATTAGCCTGGTGACTATAAAACATTAGCCTGCTGACTATAAAACATTAGCCTGCTGACTATAAAACATTAGCCTGTTGACTATAAAACATTAGCCTGCTGACTATAAAACATTAGCCTGCTGACTTTAAAACATTAGCGTAGTGACTATTAAACATTAGCCTGGTGACTATAGACCATTAGCCTGGTGACTATAAAACATTAGCCTGGTGACTATAGAATATTAGCCTGGTAACTATAAAACATTAGCCTTGTGACTATAAAACATTAGCCTGCTGACTATAGAACATTAGCCTGCCGACTATAAAACATTAGCCTGCTAACTATAAAACATAAGCCTGCTGACTATAAAACATTAGCCTGGTGACTATAAATCATTAGCCTGGTGACTAATAAACATTAGCCTGGTGACTATAGAACATTAGCCTGGTGACTATAAAACATTAGCCTGGTGACTATAAAACATTAGCCTGGTGACTAAAAAAACATTAGCCTGCTGACTATAAAACATTAGCCTGCTGACTATAAAACATTAGCCTGCTGACTATAGAACATTAGCCTTGTGACTATAAAACATTAGCCTAGTGACTATAAAACATTAGCCTGCTGACTATAAAACATTAGCCTGCTGACTATAAAACATTAGCCTGGTGACTATAAAAACATTAGCCTGCTGACTATAAAACATTAGCCTGGTGACTATTAAACATTAGCCTGGTGACTATAGAACATAAGCCTGCTGACTATAAAACATTAGCCTGGTGACTATTAAACATTAGCCTGCTGACTATAGAACATTAGCCTGGTGACTATAAAACATCCTGGTGACTATAAAACATTAGCCTAGTGACTATAAAACATTAGCCTGGTGACTATAGAACATTAGCCTGGTGACTATAAAACATTAGCCTGCTGACTATTAAACCTTAGCCTGGTGACTATAAAACATTAGCCTGGTGACTATAGAACATTAGCCTGCTGACTTTAAAACATTAGCCTGTTGACTATAAAACATTAGCCCGGTGACTACAGAACATTAGCCTGGCGACTATAAAACATTAGCCTGCTAAATATAAAGCATTAGCCTGCTGACTATAAAACATTAGCCTGCTGACTATAGAACATTTGCCTGGCGACTATAGAACATTAGCCTGGTGACTATAAAACATTAGCCTGCGGACTATAGAACATTAGCCTTGTGACTATAAAACATTAGCCTGCTGACTATAAAACATTAGCCTGCTGACTATAGAACATTTGCCTGGCGACTATAGAACATTAGCCTGGTGACTATAAAACATTAGCCTTGTGACTATAAAAACATTAGCCTGCTGACTATAAAACATTAGCCTGGTTACTATTAAACATTAGCCTGCTGACTATAGAACATTAGCCTTGTGACTATAAAACATTAGACTGCTGACTATAAAACATTAGCCTGCTGACTATAGAACATTAGCCTGGTGACTATAAAACATTAGCCTGTAGACTATAAAACATTAGCCCGGTGACTACAGAACATTAGCCTGGCGACTATAAAACATTAGCCTGCTAAATATAAAGCATTAGCCTGCTGACTATAAAACATTAGCCTGCTGACTATAGAACATTAGCCTGCTGACTATAAAACATTAGCCTGGTGACTATTAAACATTAGCCTGGTGACTATAGACCATTAGCCTGGTGACTATAAAACATTAGCCTGGTGACTATAGAACATTAGCCTGCTGACTATAAAACATTAGCCTGGTTACTATTAAACATTAGCCTGCTGACTATAGAACATTAGCCTGCTGACTATAAAACATTAGCCTGGTGACTATTAAACATTAGCCTGGTGACTATAGAACATAAGCCTGCTGACTATAAAACATTAGCCTGGTGACTATTAAACATTAGCCTGGTGACTATAGAACATAAGCCTGCTGACTATAAAACATTAGCCTGGTGACTATTAAACATTAGCCTGCTGACTATAGAACATTAGCCTGGCGACTATAGAACATTAGCCTGGGGACTATAAAACATTAGCCTGTTGACTATAAAACATTAGCCCGGTGACTACAGAACATTAGCCTGGCGACTATAAAACATTAGCCTGCTAAATATAAAACATTAGCCTGCTGACTATAAAACATTAGCCTGCTGACTATAAAACATTAGCCTGGTGACTATTAAACATTAGCCTGGTGACTATAGAACATTAGCCTGCTGACTTTAAAACATTAGCCTGTTGACTATAAAACATTAGCCTGGTGACTATAAAACATTAGCNGTGACTATTAAACATTAGCCTGCTGACTATAGAACATTAGCCTGGTGACTATAAAACATCAGCCTGTTGACTATAAAACATTAGCCTGCTGACTATTAAACCTTAGCCTGGTGACTATAAAACATTAGCCTGGTGACAATAAAACATTAGCCTGGTGACTATAAAACATTAGCCTGCTGACTATTAAACCTTAGCCTTGTGACTATAAAACATTAGCCTGGTGACTATAAAACATTAGCCTGGTGACTATAAACCATTAGCCTGTTGACAATAAAACATTAGCCTGGTGACTATTAAACATTAGCCTGCTGACTATTAAACATTAGCCTGCTGACTATAAAACCTTAGCCTTGTGACTATAAAACATTAGCCTGTTGACTATAAAACATTAGCCTGCTGACTATTAAACATTAGCCTGCTGACTATTAAACTTTAGCCTGGGGACTATAAAACATTAGCCTGCTGACTAAAAAACATTAGCCTGTTGACTATAAACCATTACCCTGCTGACTATTAAACCTTAGCGTGGTGACTATAAAACATTAGACTGGTGACTATAAAACATTAGCCTGTTGACTATAAAACATTAGCCTGCTAACTATAAAACATTAGCCTGGGGACTATAAAACATTAGCCTGGTGACTATAAAACATTAGCCTGCTGACTATAAAACATTAGCCTGTTGACTATAAAACATTAGCCTGTTGACTATAAAACATTAGCCTGATGGCTATAGGACTTTGCCCTGTTTTAACGTGATCTGTTTACATTTTTTTGGGGGTGCCTTTCCACTGTATTGTTTAATTAAAACTGTGGGTCCCACCACGTTAATTTGATTCATTATTTCCAGAAGTTCTATGAGTCACATAAAAAATTAAAGAAAAAAGGACTTTGAACTTACATGTACATTCTATTGCCAATTTATTAAATATTTTGTGCTTATTTTTGTAATGTTGATCAGCAATCTGAAATTGAATTTAAAACGTGTTGTTTTTTTCAGTTCTCTCAATTGATCAAAATCCAGAAGAAGCTAGGTCGTGACAACTTCCCGCTGATCGAGCAGGCCTATTACCCAAACCACAAGGAAATGGTGAGTTAATTGTGCATTTTTTTTAATTTCATATCACGACTGTTGTCATTCCACTCCGCCACGTGCAGTTTTAAATGTCAAATCTGGCCATGTATTAGTAATGACATCACAACCAATCGCATGCAGTCTACATGGATTATTGTTCAACAGATGAAGAACAATAAAATGTCAAATAAGATTCATTTTATTTTCATTTGCTGTAATAACCATTATAGATATTAGATTTTGTTTGATATAAAATGATAAAGACATATTTCATTGATTTTTCAATAGAATTGGCCTATGATGTTAAAAAATATAATAAAAAATAATTTGAACTATGATTTTTTTTATTAACATAACTAAAATTGAATGCGAATTGAAATTACAATACAATATTTTCGATTCCATAATTACTTTAGATAAGGGTAAAATATGTTTTCAGTTCAACTACTTGCATTCAACATTTCATATATTTTCAAGTAATGCAGTAGGTGTCACACTTGGCTTTATCACCAAGGAGACCAGGGTTCAATTCCCTGATCAGATACGAAAAGCTATATGGGGCCACCATCCCCACCACGTAGGTTTTCTCCGGGTACTCTGGTTCCCTCCCACACTTAGAACTCCACAGAAGATAATTTTGAGTTGACTGATATTTTGTGTTGTCTTCGGTTTTAAAGTGCTGTATGTGTTCATTTGTTATAGAGAAAGTTGCTATTGTGGCTGAAGTTTATCTGAATCATATGTAGAATCTTAAGTTGAACAAAAGAACCCTGAGAAAACCTATACTGGCTTGACACCTTGGCTGAGGTTTTGTGTTAATATTTAGAGTTGTCTCCCTTCAAATATTAGATACTCACAGGTCTATAGTTTATTGTACTGCATTGTTGGTATACTGCCTCTGTACCGAGTGTCATTGCTACACAAAATATCTACCTGTCCCAAGATAGTGTATTGTACTGCATTGTTGGGATACTGCCTCTGTACCGAGTGTCATTGCTACACAACATATCTACCTGTCCCAAGCTGATTCAGTGCAGTATGTGTGGTCTAGACGTGACCAGTTGGTGATATTTATGCATATGTGCAGTAAATGTTATTTTAAAATCATTGAGTCATATCATCAGACTGTCATCTGAATTCATCCCTCTGTAAGAAAGTTTAAGTTTGATGTACTGCCTTATTGTAAACTTAAGATCATAACAAAACACAGTTACTGTTATTATAAAGTATTTAAAAATTTACCTGAGTGGGTTTTTTCTTTTGTAAATTCTAGATGCACATTCCAAATGCAAATAAGTGTGTTGTAAGAAAAAAAAAGAAAAAAAAGCCTGATCATTATTTTAAAGCAACTGGAGTAAGAATAAGTTTCCTTGTTCACAAACCTATACAAAGGGATAATTCTGTCTGGACAAGCAAAGGCCCATTATGATATGCACAGACCATTTTGTGTCTGGATTTTTCGGATTTCATTCTTCACACAAACCAAATGTTTAGAGAAACAAGCTTCCATTTTACGCAAAAAAGATTTTTGTCTGTACTAACAAGGTTCCCTTGTAAACAAACCAAAGTGTCCAAACTAACAACGTTCTCTGATACATATTTTTGTTTCAACTAACAAAGTAATAAAAAAAACCTTATCTCCTGTGGCAAGCAGTTGATTGTGCATCAAATTCTTTAACAAATTTTGGCTTTTGTAAAATCAGTTATGTGTTTGCCATAAGTGAATTTTGCTGTAAACAGAAAAATATTTTTATTTGGAGTAAAATGGTTACGTACATCAGAGAAATCTGTACACCGAGAGGAACAAGGTTCCATCAAATTGTCCAGACTTATAATCAGTTGCTGACTTCTGTTTGTCCAGACTTATAATCAGTTG